CTCGTCTACCCATAGTCCTTTGGCTTGAGATAACTGAGATTTGAGTCCTCATAATATTGCTCTGTTGGTAACTTTGGCTTGCCCATTAGCTTGGGGGTGTGCCACTAATGTGAATCTTTGCTCTATTCCCATTTGTTCGCACCAGTCTTGGAATTAATGTCTTCAAACTATTTTCCATTGTCGAATATTAGCACTCTTGGTAGGCCGAACTTGCACACTATGTTTCGCTAGAAAAAATTTTGGACGTTGCGAGCTGTTATTGTCACTAGGGGTTCGACTTCCACCCACTGAGTGAAATAATCCACAGCTACTACCCAAAACTTTTTTGGTCCCTTGGCCGATGGGAAGGGTCCCAATAGATCTATGCCCCGCTATGCAAATGGCCATGGGCTGGTCAAGTATCTCAGGTCGGCAGCGGGTTGGTGTAGGATGTTCGTATGCCGATGGCATTGATCACAGTGTTGGACCAGCTCGGCTGCGTCTGCTTTCATGGTGGGCCAGTAGTATCCTTGTCATAGGGATTTTTGGGAAAGGCCCCTGCCCCCTAGGTGTCCTCCACAGAGGTCCTTGTGGTTTTTTTGTAAAACTTGATTTGCCTCATCTTGCCTTAGGCATCGTAAGTAGGGTATCGTGAAGGATCTTCTGTAGAGCAGCTCACTTACTATCACGTAGCGAGCTGCTTGTCACTCTACCAAGCGAGCTGCATTTCTTTCTGCTGGTAGTGTGTCATGTTTTAGGTAATTGTAGAGTGGGTCAATCCAACTTGGCCCAACGGTAGTGATATTGACGACCTCCTCACTCGCTTTTTCTATCGATGGTTGCGGTAGTTCTTTGATGTAGATGGTTCGTTTTGTCAAATCCAACATGCTCACTAATTTGGAGAGGGCATTAGCCTCTGTATTCTTCGATCTCAGGATTTGTTGGACATGCCATGACTTGAAAACTGGTAGGAGTTCTCTGACTTTGGCAAGGTATGCGACCATGGAGGAGTTTCGAGCCTCATAATTCCCATTTACTTGGTTTACAATGAGCTGTGAGTCGCTGCATATCAGCACATGTTTGGTTGCTACTTCTTTTGCCAATGCTAATCCTACTAATAGGACTTTGTATTCCACTTCGTTATTTGATGCTTGGAATAGAAACTAGAGCACATTTTCCATCTTTGTTCCGTAGGGTCTGTATAGTATTGACCCAACTCCGCTTCCACCCCGATGAGATGAGCCGTCCACGTGAAGTATCCAAGGCTCCTTGTCCCAGCTCGCTTTCTCACGAGGTAGGGGTGTCGTGCTGAATAAGGCTTCTGTTGTTAGCACCATCTGCCGAGGTAATGGTGAGCTGAAGGTACACTTGACAATAAAATCTACCAAGACCTATGCTTTTATCGCTGTGAGTGGCTCAAAATGGATATCATATTCACTGTGCTCGATTGCCCATTTGGTGAGTCTTCCCGAGATCTCAGGCTTTAGGAGAATTTGCTTCAATGGTTGGTCAGTTAGCACCACTATGGAGTGTGCTTGGAAATAGGGTCTCAACTTCCGGGCGGTTAATACTAAGGCAAATGTGAGATTCTCAATGTTTGGATACCTCGTTTCGGCGGCCTGGAGTACTTTGCTAACATAATATACAGGTAGTTGTGTCCTGTCTACCTCTCTAACAAGGACTGAGCTTACTACTTCATTACTTGCAGAGAGGTAGAGTTTGAACTTGTCTTCCATCTCTGGCCTAATTAGCAGAGGGGGTGAGTTGAGGTATTACTTCTGTTCATCAAAGGCGAGCTGACATTCCTCTGTCCACTCGAAGTCTTGGTTCTTTTTTATGGCCTTAAAGAAGGGGAGACACCTCCCAACTGATTTGGACATAAACCGGTTCAAGGCGGCTATTCGCCCTATTAGTCTTTGGGTTTACTTAACCATCTTGGGTGGTCTCATATCTAAGATCATTTGGATTTTTTCCAGGTTGGCCTCTATGCCTCGCTAGCTGACAATGTAGCCCAGGAATTTTCCTGAGGTCACACCAAAAGCACACTTGTTTGGGTTTAATTTTAGGTTGTGCTTTCGCAAAATATCAAACATAAGTTTTAAATCAGAAACCAATTCTTTTGAAAACAAAGTCTTTATAACCATATCATCCACATAGAACTCTACTTTATTACCAATTAACTTGGAAAAAACACAATTCACTAATCATTGGTAGGTCGCTCTAGCATTCTTTAAACTGAATGGCATGACCTTGTAATAGTATAGGCTTGTCTCAGTAGTAAATGCGGTCTTCTCCCAATCTTCAGGGTCCATCAGGATCTGCTTGTATCCCAAATAGGCATCCATGAAGCTGAGCAGTTCGAATCCTGAGGTCACGTCTACCAAGCGGTCTATGCTGGGTAAGGGGAAGCTGTCTTTTGGGTATGTATAGTTTAGGTCCGTAAAATCTATACACATTCGCCACTTGCCGTTTGCTTTTTTTACTAAGATTGGGTTCGCTACCTAGCTCGAGTATTGTACCTCTTCTATGAAGTTTGCAGCTAACAGCTTCCCTACTTCTTCATTTACTACATCCCACCTTTTCGGGGCAAGGTTTCATTTCCTTTTCCGGACTGGTTTAACTGCAGAGTCCACATTAAGTTTATGAGTTATTAGCTTAGGGTCAATTCCAGGCATTTCAGTTGCCGACCAAGTGAAAACATCTATTTTTTTTAATAAAAAACTTACCAATTCGGATCACTGGGGATCTTTTAGGTGAGCTCCTATCTATAGCACTTTCTCTGGATCAGTTTTGGAGACTTGTATTGCTACTGTGTCTTCGGTCAGGTGAGCTCCAGCATCATTCAATCCAAGGATCCAAGAGATCATCAAGCAACTCAAGCTATCAAGAGAGCAGTTCGACCATTGAGAAGCAGAGTATGGAGAATTCGAAGATCATGAGCAACTAAGCTTTTCTTTTCTGGTTCAAAGGGGGAGGTTTGATTGAGTCGTTGTGAGGTTCTGTATTTAATTTAAGATCTTGCTTTCTAATTCAAGTATTCATTGATTCTTGTGCATATTTTCATTGGATGTTAATGTTAATTAGTCAGACAAACTGAATTAATGTTGATTTTCCTACTGCTATCCATAGTTCGGTAATCCGTAATTGTCACGAATAGTGGTACAAGTAGCAATTAGGTTAATATCTTTCTGGGTCAATTGTTCGTGACAACCTTTGACCAATGTATTGACATATTTTAACCTAAAAGGAATCGATGGAACAGAATTTGATAATTGCAGCTATCTCAATTATTGATATTTTGGTTTAACTGTTTTCACAAAGCTTAATGCTATCATTAGTTGATATGGAACACTATCGTACCCAGTTGATTAGTGATAAGTGTTGATCGAATGTTGGGTTTGGTCAGCTGATTTAGGAAAATGCAAGGTTTATTTTGGCTATCCTAATAAATCTAAGGTTAAATGCTTGAATTGCAAGACTACCAGAGTCTACCTTTGATCGATGGCCAATTAACTAACCCGAACCCTTGAACCAGAATTGGGTAAGACTGATTTCTCTTGTTTGTTTAGTTTGCTATTACTCTCTTTTAATTTCAGTTATTTAATTTTCCCACTCAGTGATAATATTCATTCGGCTGAGAGATTACTATTAGCTCCCTGTGGGATTCGACCTAGTACCACTTTTACTACAAATATTTTATTGTGGGACTAGTACTAAATTTGAGGGTTTCGACAACCCGTCAGTCAACTCCGTGGACCGTTTTCCTGTGTTGTAGTTATAGCGCTTGCACGGGCGTTGGTGAGCTGGTGGCTGACAGAGGGTCGAGCTCGCCCTAGCTCGGCCACATATCTGATGTTGACTACCACATGTTACTCCAGCAAGCTGTTCTATTGTGTCGGACATTGTGGGCCGAGCTCGCTCTAGCTCGACTTCGTACCTGATATTGACTGTTGTATGTCGAGCCAGTGAACTATCTTGCTGAGTGGGACGTTGTGTCACTAATAGTGTCCATGTGTCCATCATCAAGTGGGTTGACCAAAATGCCCTTCATGAAGTTCAATTTTTAACCGGATAAACTATTTGCTCACCCCTACTTGAATTAATTTTCAGTGTGATGAAATTTCTCCAAGTGGTAAATCCCATTGTGTGTAGTACACTTCTTTCTCTTTTCAAAAAAAAAAAAATCCAATGAAGTGTCTTTGGGAGGGAGTTATTAAAATTAATTTTGATGCATTTTATGATTCTAATGGGTTTTGGGGTATTTCTTGTATTGGTAGATATCATCATGATGAGGTCCTTGACTCGAAACCATATGCTTTGGGGAGTACTACAATCAATCTTTTTGAAGCATGGACTGCGTGGGAAGTCCATAACCTTGTGCTCAACTTTAGGAACCAGCCTATCATCATCGAGGGAGATTCAGAGCTAGTCATTGACTTTTTAAGAAAGAAGGTGAATCCATCGTGGAGAGTGAAGACTTTGATCAATGAGTGCATGTTGCTTAGGCTGTGTTTGGTTGTAATGTAATTTTATTTGCACTAGTACAAATACATGAAAGTGCAAATTTAAATAAAATGCAAATTCTCGTTTAATTTTGTTTGGGGCTTTACTTTATTCTGCTTCATGTCTTAATTCATTTAGTTTGTATTGCAATCAAACAAAATAAGCTAAAATTTGAAACAAAAATAGGTCAGAATTTACACTCAAATAATTTGCTCTGCCATGGTTTTATTTGCATTACAACCAAACATAGCCTTAGTGTTCTTTTGGATTGTGGTATCTACTACCAGCATGTCTTCCGTGGGGCCAATGTAGCAGCTGACTAGTTGACATATGCAGATTTCTTTGGTTCTTGGTCGAGTCATTTAGGTTTGCCCAGAGAGCTTGCTGTAATTTGCTTTTTAAGATTCATGAGGCCGTGCTACCCCGTCTTGTGTAGCAATTTTCTTGTTTTAATTTGCCAAAAAAAAAGAAAACAAATTATGGAGAGAAGAAAAATTGAGAATAAACTAAATTACCCATTGCAGCAGACAACGTTGCCTTTCTCAATGCCAATCAAGAATCGTTAATTCTATGTCCTTTGTCATGCAAACAAAACCCATATTGGTTATGCAAGTAAAATAAAATCAAAGGGAAAATAGGAATTTATCTTTCCTTCCTTGTATCTATAATGTGGTAAAAGCTGAAAAGCTAAGAACTAGTATTAATTGAGCTGGAGACGGCTCTTAAAAGCTTCCCATGTCAAATCTTTCTCAATGTACTCAATATTGGCAGGGTTGAAGGGCCCTTTTATTCTGTCTATGGACTTGATAACTGCCCTTGCTGGAAGAACACTTCTTGATGGGTTTGGTGAAGTCCTGTAGCTCAAGCAAGATGAGAACCCCTGCAATGTTACATGGAATTAAACCATATTCATCAAACAAGTTCAGATTATAATTTGAACAATGTCCTTAGTGATGTCCATTTGAGAGGGCTGAAGAGCACAGATTCTACCCTTTCAAGGTGAGTCCCACATGAACAGCCTACAAACTATGTTTGATGAAAAAATCCCTAGAGCCCAAATCAGCTGTTAGGCATTCATTTGAAGGGTCGTCTACTTCAGCCTCTTTAAGGACTCGTTTGGGAAGGCTGAACTGAGGAGTCAGCTATTCTGGTTCAGCTGCTTAGAAGTGCATAGGATAAGCTAGTAGGGATCCCATGGTGCGGGAAGTGCTCTCCCCGTCCCTGCGGGGGCAGAGGGAATCACCCCCATTCCCGCCCCACGGGGATCAGAGAAAAAGGAAAAATTGCCATCCCTAATTGACAGCCAATTTGGGCATTCTAAATTTTTAGCCATGTGACCAAACGCAGCTTATAGGCTGTTTAAGTGGGGTCCACCTTAGAAAACCAAATCTTCCATATGGGAAATAAATAACTTATAATCTGGAGGGCTTCAAAGCAGCTGAATCAGATTAGCCGAATCTTCAGCTTAGCCCTCCCAAACAGGATACGTTGAATTCTATATGTTGACAAACCTTCATAAGCAAACTCACCTTGAAGATCAGCACTTCCTCTTCTTGGTTATCCACTACTGCTCGTACTAGAAGAGCCTCATTCCTGGCTGACTCGCTGTAAGATTCTAACATGGCAATCTCTGAATTGTGACCATATTCTTCATCAACGACTTCATCTTCATCTTCGTATCTTACTCTTCGCCTTGAATTGCAACGAATGCTCTGCAATCTCTGGCTTTGCAGCTTGAAAGCTTCAATTGGATTAATATTAATGCCTCTATGTAGAGATGAAGCCTTGTTTGAGAAAAAAGGCAGGCAAGGCCATGAAGAAAGGTTTGCTGTTAGTCCTACTTGCTTCAACATAGATAGAAGTAGCTTATGAGAAAATTTCTCGACTTGGGGACTAGAATAAGATAAGGTGCCACTTCCGCTTCTATAAGGACCACTGATTTTGGAAAGACAAAGTTAGGGATGGCAAACCCAACCCATCATGTGGTCCATTCAATCCACCCACTTATGTCTCAGCGGGTTTGAAATGGGCTGATTCATTCATTGGGAAGATATAAATGGGTTGGGTTGGATGGATTATGAATACAACAATTCGATCTTCTGCATGAATATGGTTCTGAATTGAGTGTGAAAGTCCAAACCCAATCCATATCCAATTCAAATATTCCAGATTTGGATTATCTGTTTACATATTCGGATCAGAATATGATATGAGACCCCAGCAAGATATGATCAGATCTAAGTTTTTTCAATAATCGGATTGAATTCAGATGTGTCTAAACCGTATCTGAATTAAAGCCAAGTCTCTCTTTTTGCAGGCTTCCCTCTTTGATATATCCACCATATATCAATGCACTAGCGGAAGGTAGGGGTGAGCAAATGGGTAGATTCTACCCGGAATCGAATAGAATTGACCTCGAATCAGTCTTGAACCAATCCCACTCAATCTGTTATTGGATAGGGTCTGATTCCAAATTCTTGGAACCGATCCTCACCCATGCCGGTTCTATAGTCAAGGGGTCTACCCTATCCAAATTGAACCGACCTTGGTTGGCCTAGGTGGAACCTTCCTTGGAACTGAACTAGCCTTGAAATAAACCCCAAAATACTTTTGAAAATGTGAAGATTTGAGCTCAAGCACTCATGGTTATAAAGGCGATGGTCTCACTTGGTGATTTTATCATTTGTTTTCATTTTATTATTTGAATGTGTACAATAAGTAGTGAAAGAGGTAATATTTACAAAATTTAAATTTAAATTTATAAGTTTTGAACCATATAATGATAATCTACATATTAAGTTATCCAATTTAATCAATAAATATAATTTAAGTTTCAAACTATTATTATATTTATTAAAAAACATGCCTTTTTTTTTGAAGGGAGAGAGTAAAGAAGGTACAAGTTCCATGGGTAGACCCTATAACCAATCCTAGAACCACCAAGGCCAGAACCAACCTTCACAAGGTAGGTTCCGGCTCCAAAACTTTGGAATTGATCCTTAGAGGGTAGGTCTAGGTTTTGTCATGGAATCGAGCCGAACAGACCCTTGCTCACCCCTAGCGGAATGGGCCCATGTTAAGCATGGACATGAAGATAGATGTGTGGTCGATCACCTATATGTCATTTATTTGTAATTGATCTTGTTGCTGCCAAGGATGGGCTAACAGAAACAAGGTAATTTCACTTCCTTAATTGAGGGCTAGTACGTCCGAGGGTTGATGAATCTGAGGGCTTCAGTGTCCGACCTGAGGATCAAAGAGCACGTCAAAGGCCTTGGGTGTTATCCCAAGAGCGGAGACTCCGACGATCAAGTTAGCCAAGTGCGTAACAAGGGGTCGGACGAGGCCTGAGAGGAGGAGCCCAGATGAGGTCACCCGAGTGCTAGAGAGCTTGAGAGTAGGAAAAGCCAAGATAGGTTACATAGGGAGTGATGCACCTATTTATACTTGAGCTCACCAGGGAGGTGGTTGAGGTTTTTACCACCAGACGGCTAGGTTACATAGGGAG